TGAATAGCATTTTCCATCAAGAGGCCTTTGGAGATGTCTTACATCCTTGTATTGCTGAGAAGGGTTAAGTCTGTCGATATTATTCATCACACAACATGGCTGTCACTGTGCACAATGTTCTCCTGGTTCTGTTCACTTCACTCAGCATCAGACCATACAAGTCTTTCCAGGTTTTTCTGAAATCTGCCTGCTCATCATTCTTATAGCACAGTAGTATTCCATTACTTTCATATACCACAACTTGTTCAGCCATTCCCCAATTGATGGGTGTCCTCTCAGTTTTCAATTCTTTGCCACCACAAAAAGAGCTGCTATAAATATTTTTGTACATGTGGGTCCTTTTCCCATTTCTATGATCTCTCTGGGATATATCCTTACAAGTGCTATTGCTGGGTCAAAGGGTATGCCCATTTTTATAGCCCTTTGGTCGTAGTTCCACATTGCTCTCCAAAATGGTTGACAACTCCACCAGCAATGCATTAGTGTTCCAGTTTTCCCACATCTTCTCCAGCATTTATTATTTTCCTGTTTTGTCATGTTATCCAATCTGATAGGTGTGATGTGGTACCTCAGAGTTGTTTTGATTTGCATTTCTCTAATCAGTAGTGATTTAGAGCATTTTTTCATATGACTATAGATAGCTTTAATTTCTTCATCTGAGAACTACCTGTTCGTATCCTTTGACCATTTATCAATTGGGAATGACTTGTAGGATAATGATAGTTTTGCAAAACAAAAAAGTAAAGTGTCCATGAAATATTGAAACAATAAAGAGCAGGACATTCAGAAGAGAACAAAGGGAAACAGTAGTTTTGGGACTGTCATTCAGTGTTAGTCAGCTAGTGTTTATTACACAGCCGCTAAGTGCTGTTCAATGTGACATAACAAAAAAGTATCATGAGAGTTCACAATTTAATGTGCAGTCTTCTTTTTCTCTTTTTTGTGTGATGAAATGTCCATTTTTTATGTTAAGTTCATGATAAAGAGATAAAATTAAAGGAGTAACATATCTGCATAGGCTTTTAGATATTCAAGCAACTAAGCTGTTATATGCACACATATGAAAAATGGCCAAATACTTGTGGTCTGATCATTGTAATAGCAGTATTCATAAAATTTTGATTTACTCAGTGGCATAGTAGAGCATTCAGGAAGATAATTAAGTTATTGCAATAGTGAGTTGGATGCTTTTAAAAGATATTGCGCAGGTAGGATCAACAGGACTTGGCAACTCATTAAATATGGTGGGTAAGGGACAGGGAAGTATCAGAAATGAGCCCAAGGTTGCAGTCATGGGTGATGCCCTGCACAGGGTTCTCTCAATACTCAGATCCAAAATTATTTATAATGCTTTTTCTTCCTTTCAGCCACTAGATCAGTTTCAGATCATCCTTGGGCATTCTTGTTTAGCAAAATTGCCAGGGAGCTAGAGAAAGAGAGAAGATTCTTTCTGCCTTGGTAATGCCACTGATCCAAGTCTATGCTAATCTTAGGAGCTGGGTAGGGAGGACTTGACGGTTACTTTTCTCCTACAACTCAGTTCCTGTTATGAATTCTTTAATTCTTCCTGGCAACAAAATCCTTGATCTCTCCCTGCTAGGATAAGAGATTGAGAGTTGCAAACCGCCTTAGAGGATCCTCCAGAGCCTCTAGCCTTCTTGTTGTATAGTGAGAAAATGGAAGTGCAGAATGGAAGTGACATCCCCTTGTTCATCCAGGCAGTAACCCAGGAGGCATGGCCAAGACAGTGGGTGACAGAGCTTGTGTCCAAAACATCTTGGGTTCTTTCTCCTGCTCTGATAAATACTGGCTGTGTGACCTCTATAACTAATATAAGTTGCAAGCCCATTTCCAGTCTTTATTGGGAGAGAGAGTTTTCTCACTCTGGAGTCCCTTATTCTCTTAAACACTGGTCTGTCTGAATGCCTCCAAACCTTGTCCTCCTCGTGCTGTACCCCAGCCCCCCAAAAAAAGAAGTCCCAAGACCTAAATGGGCAGATCCAGGGGTATACTGATAGCCCTGTATATATATATGCCCAGTAGGTATAATTTCCCTTGATTTGGGGTAATTGTTTGATAAATATCTCATAATGTTCTTGAGGAAAGATGGCGAGATATGAACTAAGTGATTGAAGTGTTTGGACCTTTGGACGGTTGCACTTAAAACAGTTGTTAGTGGTTCAGTGTAAGCTGAGCAGGTGGTCTCCAGTAGAGAGTGCCTGGTGATCAGTGTTTGGTCTGTTCTCTTTCACTTTTTTTTTTCATTGACTTGATTAACGGCATAGTTGACAAGCTGATCAAAATTGCAGATGATGCAAAACTGATGGGGATAGCTAACCCAATAAAGTATTACAGTCAGTATCCAGAAGGATTGTTGAGCTGAATTTAATAAAAAGGAAACTAGAGGCAGTGGGGTTGCACAGTGGATAGAACATTAGACCTAGGGTCGTGAAGACTTGAGTTCAAATCCTGCTCAAAAGCTAACTAGCTGTTTAACCCTAGACAAGTCACCTAACTACCTCGATTTCCCCATCTGTAAAATGGGAATATTAATAATGCATATCTATCAGAGTTGTTGTGAAGATCATTTAAGGCAGTATTAATAAAGGGCTTTATAGCCCTTTAAGTGTGCATAGGTACATTATTGATTTTATTATTGATATTGTTGATTTTATAGGTTATCTAGAAGCTGTTTACTGGATGAATTGATGAATTAGAAGGTCAAGAAATGGGAAGAGGGCAGGCAAATTTCTCATTAGCACATTGCTAGAATGTTCTGTGTGAGATGTGGAGGATCTGATCCCAGACTATTTATAGCAATCTCTTTTCATTGGTATTTCCCCTTATTCTCATTCTTTTTCATTAGCTGATTTCCCAGTAACATTTGCCACTCTTCCTCACTAATGGATTGACTTGTGTTCAGCCTTTTTTCCCATCTTCTTCCCAGATTGCAGAGTCAAAGCCACAGGCTCTTCATAGGCATTAGCTTTCATTTCCTTATTCCATTCAAATGACAGCAGTTCATGCTACATACTGGAAAGCTCTTTTCGTCATTCCAGGGTATAGGTTTGCATGGTAGGCTTTAGAAATAAATTATTATTCAACTTGTATCACTTTTAATTGTTTCAGACATTTTGCCTTCACCTGCCATATGCCTAATGAACAGTGGTTCATTCCAGACAGGTGGAGAGAGCATTTCAGAAACCTGATGTTCAAGAAAACCCCTTGAATGTGAAGGAGATGCAGAATTAGTTAGCCCTATTGTTCTTCTTTCTTTGTTTTCTCAACCCTTAGGGATGTGTCCATGACAAATAAGGGAAATTTGGAAACCTGGAGTCTTAGTCATGTCAGAAAAGTGAATGCCAATTCAGCTCAACCTTTCAGACTTCTCTGGATCATTCTTTTTAAATAATTTTCTTTTCAACCACTAGAATTCCACTCTCCCTTTCTTTTGTCCCCTTTCCCCCTCAATTGAGAATGAAAGAAAAACAAATCTCTTATTACAGACGTAGTTAAGTAAAGCAAATTTCCCCATTGGCCATATCTGAAAGAAAAATATGGCTAACCATATGTATACACACACACACATATCCGTGTGTCATTCGACACTCAGAACCCTTCTCTACATCAGGAGACAGGCAGCGTATTCCATGTGCTGATCAGAGTTCGCAAATCTCTCAGAGCTGCTGGTTTCTGCGTTCTTGTCACTGTGCGAACTGTTGTGGTTTTGTTCGCTTTGCATCAGTTCATAGAGGTTGACCCAGGTTTCTCTGAAACCACCTCCTTCTGTTTTCATAGCACAGTAATATTCCATCATATCCAAATGACCACAACCTATTCAGCTCTTCTCTTTTGCCTGAGATTCCTGCCCAAGTTATCCTCCAGGTTTTAGACTGGGCTGGAAGCTCGCACTGAAACTGCTCTGCTGGAAAGTGGGGAGGGCAGGGGCAAGGTCTAAGCCACATTGCTCCTTCTTGCATGTGAACTTGCTCCTTGCTCAGTACGTAAATAGGACTCAAGATTGTTCCTTACCAAACAGTCTTATACCCGTGTGCAGATCCCTTCATCCACCCTGAATCTGTAACCCAAAGCTGAGTAGTGGGAGGTGATACCTGTTCCCATATCCCATAGGGCCCCAATATGGGTCTGGAACCTTTTGCCCTGGTTTTGAGCTTGGAGTGTTCTCAGCAGCCATGCTCTTGCCCAGACCTTGTCCTTACTGTTCACAGATCTCTCTCTCTCCCTAAGCTGACCTGTGTTGGAAAAATAACTCACTTGACTTTTTCTTGGATGTTGCCATCGGGATTTTGTCTGGTGCATTTTTTAGGTATGTTTGGATGAGTTCAGTGAGATGGGAGGGAAGCTAACTGTACTTCTTGCTACTCTGCAGTCTTGGCCCTGCCCTTATCTGTATCATTCTTCAATGTTGGTTTTCCAGCTGTAGCATAAATATTTCTGGCTGAGAATGGATTTATTCTTTTGTGTGTAGGTAACAGTGTGGTGAAAAGACTATTGGGTTAAAAGATTAAGTAATGTTGTGTACTAGAAAGAGCTTTGGATTTTGGAGTCAGTAGAAACTGTTTTGGGTCTCAAATTGGACATTGTTTATTAACAGTGTAACTTTAGGCAGGTTGCCCACTCTGAACCACCCTCATTAGCAAAGTAACTGAACTACCGGCTTCATACAGTTGTGAGTTTCAGTGTAAGGTATTTATAAGATGTAATGACTAATAATTTATGTTTATGTCTCATTTTAAGGTTTGTAAAGCACTTTCCTTACACAACCCTGCAAATGTAAGACTTTTTTGTCTTAATACTATCCTTTGAAATTAGAGAGTTGTTACTGGTTTGGGTTTTTTTTAATGAATATAATAAAAAGGGAAATCAGTGTATAGTACAGGGCATTAGAGATACTTAGATTTTTGTTTTTCTTTCAGATTAGGAGACTAGGCTAGAAACCAAAGTTACTATGGAATATTGACATTTCTTCTGTCTTTCAGATTGGCAGATTTGACCTGTAAAGAAAGCTACTCCAAAGCTGGGCACCTATGGAAGAATCATCCCAGGAAAAACTCACAAGCGATGGTCCTTGTGACTCTAAATTGAGTGAAGCCTGGGAATATGAAGTCAAGTTAGAGGAGGAGCAGAGTGATGAGGAGAAAACCCAGCATGTAAAAATCATCCAAAGGAAGGCACCTAGTAAATTGAGAAGCCATGAATATAATAAATATGGTCGACTCTTTGGTGTAGGACCAATTCTCTTTCCACAACAGAGAGTACCCATAGGAAAGAATCTTCCCAAATATGACACACACAGAAAGAGCTTCAGACTGTATTCAGACCTAAGAAAATACAATAAAATTTCCTCAAAGAAGATATTTTCTAAGTATAATGAAAGTGGAAAATCCTTCAGTTATCATTCAGACCTAATTGAATACCATAGGCTACATACTGGAAAAAAACCTTATGAATGTGGGAAAGCCACATTGTGGAGAGCACAGCTTATTCAACAACAGAGAATTCATACTGTAGAAAAACCTTATGCATGTATTGAATGCGGGAAAGCCTTCTGCAAGAGGACACAACTTACTCAACATTTCAGAATACATACTGGAGAAAAACCTTATGAATGTACTGAATGTGGGAAGACATTCCGACAGAGTGCACACCTAACTCGCCATCAGAGAATTCATACTGGAGAGAAACCCTATGCATGTAATCTGTGTGGGAAAGCCTTCAACCACAGCTCTTCCCTTGCTTCCCATCAGAGAATTCATACTGGAGAGAAACCTTATGGATGTGATCGATGTGGAAAAGCTTTCAACCACAGCTCTTCTCTTGCTTCTCATCAGAGAATTCATACAGGGGAGAAACCTTACGAGTGTAATGAATGTGGAAAAGCCTTCCGCCAGAGCACGGAACTTACTAGACATCAAAAAATTCATACTGGAGAAAAACATGAATGCACTGAATGTGGAAAGGCTTTCCATCAGAGTTCACACCTTACTCGACATCTAAGAATTCATACTGGAGAGAAACCTTATAAATGTAATGAATGTGGGAAGACCTTCAATTATAGTTCATCCCTTGCTTCTCATCATAGAACTCATACTGGAGAAAAACCTTATGGGTGTATTGAATGTGGCAAAGCCTTTGGTAAAAGGACACAGCTTATTCAACATTGGAGAATTCATACTGGAGAGAAACCTTATGACTGTAATGAATGTGGAAAGGCATTCCGTCAGAGCTCACAGCTTACTCGACATCAGAAAATTCATACAGGAGAAAAACCTTTTGAATGTGATGAATGTGGGAGAGCCTTCCGCCAGAGATCACAGCTTACTTACCATCAGAGAATTCATACTGGAGAAAAACCTTATGAATGTAATGAATGTGGTAAGGCCTTCTGTCAAAGCACTGAACTTACCCAACATCACAGAATTCATACTAGTGAGAAACCTTTTGAATGTCATGAATGTGGTATGGCCTTTCGCCTGAGTACTGGACTTACTCGCCATCAGAAAATCCATACAGGAGAGAAACCTTATGAATGCAGTGAATGTGGGAAGGCCTTCTGTCAGAGAGCAGAACTTACTGTACATCATAGAATTCATACAGGAGAGAAACCCTATGTGTGTAATGAATGTGGGATGGCCTTTCGACAGAGCTCACAACTGACTCCACACCTCAGAATTCATACCGGAGAGAAACCTTATAAATGTAATGAATGCGGAAAGGCCTTCAATCGCAATTCATCCCTTGTTTCCCATCACAGAATTCACACTGGAGAGAAACCTTATGAATGTAATAAATGTGGAAAGGCCTTCCGCCGGAGTACAGGACTTACTCGACATCAGAGACTTCATATTGCAGATAAATCTTATGAATGTAATGATTAAGGGAAAGTTTTCCTCCAAAACATATCTTAACATCAGTTCATTAGTGAAGTCTTATGTTTTGATCCCTTTTAAAAAAAATATGTAGTATTACATTTTAATGCGAGACACCTTCCAACAAACATCCTCCAGAAAGTTTTTTGCTTTTGTTAACAGGAAGATTGGATGTTCTATTTACTTTGGATAGTATGGTAGTAACATTGGCCATTGTATTTGACGAGTGTTTTTTTGCTTCATAATTCTGACTTTTATTAACGTTGTTGTAGTCATTGTGTGTTTTGTGTTTTGGCTCTGCTTTCATTACTTTGCAATGCTTCATGTAAGCTTTTCTCCATGGTTTTCTGAATTTTTTATTCTTCCTTACAGCACAGTAATACGTAATTACATTCATATACCACGACATGTTCAGTTATTTCTTTGATTGTTGACCGCGTACTTTGTTTCCAGATTTTTGTTGTACATCATGATGTTACGAATATTTTTGAGCCTCTGGGTCTTTTTGTTGTTAATGCCCTGTTTGGGGTATGGTTACCAGGAGTAGAATCTCAGCGTCAGAGGGTACGAGCAGTTTAGTAACTTTTCTTTTTTCAATTTTCAATTTTCTCTTCTTGTTTGATTGAACCATTTTATAGCTTGATTAGAAGTGAAGTAATCTGTCTGCCTTCCCAAATCCTTTCCAACTATATGTTTCCCGTCTTTTGGGATTGAGGTGATTCATCAGAGTTATTTCAATTTGAATTTTTCTGATGATTAATGATGTTGAACATTTTTCAGGTGAATTTTGTTAAATTATATCTTCTTTTGAAAACTGTTCCAATCCTTTGATCATTCATCTATTTCAGAGTAACTGTTGATCTCAGATTTGTATTCCTTTAAGGTTTTGGATGCAGTGCTTTTATACAGAGACGTTTAAAGGGAATATTATTTCTCTCAACATGTATCTTCTGGTTCTAGATGCAGTGAGTTTATTTGTGCAAAGGTGTTTGTGTTTTTATTTTGTCATTTTATTTGATTGAAAATGTCTATTTTCTGTTTTGTGATCTATCCCATAACTGGTTACAAATGTTTCTCATTATCCTTAGTTATGAAAGAGACTCTACTGTTCTCTTTTTGATTTTGTTTTGCTTTTTGTTTTGTTATTTTTTCTTTTAATGGTATGACTTTTTATATTGTTAGTTGAGCCATTTGGAATAGAGTGTGGTACATGCTGTAAGATGGTTATCTCACCCTACTTTTTGCTAGATGTTACAGTTCTTCCAGCAGCTCTTATTAAATAAAGAGTCCCTACTGCTGTAGTTGGTGTTCTTGAGTTTATCAGGTACTAGACTGCTCCTGCGTGACTTCTTTTCTAGGCTTTGCTTACCTGTTCTGTTCTATTGATAGGCTTTTAAATTGTTTACCGAGCGCCAGGTAATTTTGTTGCTGATAATAGTTGTTGTTCATCGAGTTTGAGATCTGATATCACCGAGGAACCTTCTAACTACCATTTTTTTCCCCATTATTTCCTTTAATATATGAGCTTTACAGAAATTGTTTTTAAAAAGTTTTTCTCCCCAGTATGAACTGATATTGATATGAGGGTTTACTTAGACAACTCTAAAGAAGCAATAAAAAAGTTGAAACAGCTTCAGTAAAGTAGCAGGATATAAAACAAATGCACAAAAATAGTACTTTTCTGTATAATAAAAAAAAATCAGGAGAAAAAATCCATTTAAAGTAACAGAATGCAGTAAATATATGGAAATTAACCTACCAATATACATATAGGACTTGCATAAATGAAAATTTTACAGAAATAAGTCCTAAATAATTGGAAAAAAATTCAATGTTGATTACTAGGCTGTGCCTGTGGATAAATTATATTTAGTTGTATATCAATATACATACCAAAGGGATATTTTATAGATTTAGACAATATAAAATTAATTTCAAGGCATAAAACATCAAGAACGTCTAGAGAAATTTTAACAAGATCTTTAAATTTGTGAGGTTACATAATGTTTAGTAAAATTTAATGACAGTAGCACTAAAATTGAACTGTGGCCATTGATTTTTCATATTATCCATAAGAAACTGACTGCATGGTGGACTGAAGTGTGAATTATTCTGAGTTTTGTGATCTATTTTCTAAAGTCTGGATGCACATTGAATTATGCATGGATCTTTTTGGAACCTGTATTAATGGTCATTGAACAGTTAGAGGATCCCTTTTCATTTAATAGTTTTGATTTGTTTTGACCCAATAGCTACCTCTTCTATATTGTTGCGTACATTGTTTTACTCTTGTAATTTTTACCGCTAATATTTGATTCGGAATATGTCATCATTGTGTGGCATATTATAGTAATATGATGGGAAGAGTTCTTGATTTGGTGACAGAGGACCTGAGTTTAATTCCAGTTCTGGCCACTGACAGCCTCTTACCTTGGACAAGTCAGTATTTCTTCAGGCCTCAGGTTCCTCTGTAAAATGAGGGCACTTTACTAAGATGTCCTCCAAGGTCCCTTCCAGTGCTAAGTCTGTGATCCAATGAAGGAGAAGTGGGACTGGAAGTTTAGGGAGAGCAGAGAAGAGTTAGGAGCTTTGGAGATTTCATAAAAGTTCAATAGATTGAAAGAATGCATCATCCACCAAGTGCTGGATGCTCTGCTGTGGCTATAAACCGATTAGGCAGCTAGCTGAATTGGATGTAAAGATAGAGTAGTTCGTCTGCATGACTATAGGTAGTTCAGTGCATCTTCAATGCATGTAGATTGTGGCATAGCTGACATTTATAGCACTTTGGAAAATGCGCTGTGTATGTTGTCCCATTTGATCCTCACAACCCTGATTGATGCTATTACCTCCATTTTATAGATGTGACAACCAAGGCTCAAATAAGTGACTCATCTAGGATCGAATGCTAGTAGTGTCTGAGGCAGAATTTGAACCTAGGTCTTCTTAACTGCAAGTACAGCACTGTCCACTACGTGGAGCTACCTCTTAACTCAGTTGGGAGAATTGCTTCTTTTTCCCTATGGTAGTTTGGTCATTGGGATTACACATTGGTGCTAGAAAATATTATTGGTATTGTGAATCAGCAACTCACCAACAAATTGAAAGATATTGGTGGATTGCTTTACTAAAGGGCTTCTAAGAGACATTTGGAAGTCATTGCTAATAGTTCTGAGCACTGTGTCTAAGTATTGACTCTGTCCCTGGTAGGTGGATATGAGCAGAAGGAAAGGTTGGAGAAATTAGCCTGCAGCTATATTTTTCTGAAGATTCTATTGTTCTTACTCCCAACATGGTTAATCACGAACTTTACTATTGTATTCCTTGAACACTATGCAGATCTCTCACATGAATTGCATGGATCAAAACAAAATTAAAAGAAATTAAGCCCATAAAAAGCAAGTCCAGTCTAATTCCCAGACCAAAATTTAGCAGAATACAACCCATTGTCAATCTAAGAATGCCCTTTCCCCTCCATGGGACATTCTGATTCTTAGAAAGCTATGTAGCTGCTCTCTAATGAACTTTTGTGATAAGGTCTTACATAGAGGTGAAAAAATAAAAAGTTTGCAAAGCCAGACTGATGTTTGAAGAAACCTGCTAAAACAAGAACACTTGGAAGGTGGTCCAACCTTGGGAATCCACAGGGGCAGCAGTGGGGAGAGATGAGGCAGGGAGTGGAAAATGGGAGAAGTGTACCAGTAACAACTTCAAAATTCCCATAATTTTTCCTTTTTTTTCCTGCCCTCATGTATGCCATTTGTAGACCTTCTGTTTTTAGCGTGCCAATGAAGCCCAATCTCTCAATGCCAGGATTAGCTGGTAAAGGCATAGTTGTAACAGAGGCACTGCCTCAGATAACCTGAGCTGTAATTTGCGGTCCTGATCAGGTTTATTTGGGATAGTCCCCTGCCTTTTTATTTTTTGTTGCTTGTGGCTTTGGTACCACGAGCTCACCTATTCGTGCCTCCTCAATGACGTATTATGTTATACGTGAGGGACAAATGTGTGTTATCAAGGAGTAGACTAACAGCAGAAAGGCAAGATGCTGTTGTAATTACCTTCTATATTGTAGACATTCTATTCAGAATTCTGTTCTTCTGCTTAAATTTGTTTCCCAGTAATCTGCTTATTAGCTCCTGGCTTTCCCACCGGATTGGGAAGGTATGGACTACTTATCTTGAACTCCTTTTTTTGCAAGTGCTCAGTGCAAGGCTACCGAGAATATGAACTTGAACCGATTAAACTCAGGGTCAGAGGTTCAGTTGTATTCCTTCACCCTGTGGGAAATATTTGTCTCAATACTTAGCTAACCCCTTAACTTCTGGGGTGTGGGCTTGATTGGAGGGGCTCTGAGTCATTCCTTGCTTGGTAGTTAGCGTCTAATTGGTTTTATCATTGGGGCTCATGTGCCTCAGTGATCTGAAGTCTGGGGTGATGCATACCTGTTTGGACTGTTGGTCCGAGTCTACCTGCAGTGACCTGCACTCTGCTTATGGGACTGCTGATGGACAACCTGTTCCTGTTTATGCCTTTAATAAACCTTACTTGGTTCCATGATGGTGTCTCGTGTGTAATCACTTCCTGTATCTCTTAATTTGAGTCAGATCACTGGTCATCTTGTCCCATCAGGCTCACACAACCTGGAGTCGTGTTTCCACTTCTGATATGTATTGGATGTGGGATGCTGAGGCAAGTCGCTGAGTATACTCAGACTGGCACCGCATCTCAGTTTCCTGATGTATGAAACACATAATGACTGATGCCTGCCTCACAGGGTTGTTAGGTGGTGTTAGTATGTAAAGCACTTTTATCAGTCCAAAGATACTCTGTAGGTGGCACCAAGTAGTGGCGATGCAGGAGCAGCTAGGTGGCACGGTGGACAGAGCACTGGACTTGGAATCAGGAAGACTCATCTTCATGAGTTCAAATCCAGCCTCAGATACCTACTAGCCATGTGACCCCAGGCAAGTCACTTAACCCTGTTTGCCTCAGTTTCATCATCTGTAAAATGTGCTGGAGAGGTAAACGGCAAACCACTCCAATGTCTTTACCAAGAAAACCCCAAATGGGGTCATGAAGAATCGAACATGAC